GTGGGGGGCCCGCCCGCCGCAGCCAACGGCAGCCTGGCCTGGCAGGGTGGCCGCTGGGCGTCACCTCCCCGACGTCACAGGGGACCCTGGTTCACTGGGAACGTTCCGGAGCCTGACCTCGAGGCTGCTGTCCCAGCGCCTGCCCTTCCCTGGGCGAGGTTCTAAGCTCTCTGACTCAGTTTCCCCACCTCTCAGCGGCAGTGACTCGGTGCCCCCTCCCCGGGCCGTGTGGGTGGGTGACGGCCAGGTGTCAGGGCAGCGAGGGGCGACCGCGCAGGGATTGGGGGGTGGGACGAGGGTCCCCACGCCGGCCGGGTCCCCGCCGGGGGGCGAAGAGGAGAAGCCCCTTCCTGGGGGGAAGAGCAAAGGCGGCCCTTCCTCGTTGCACCCTGTGCCCGCCTCGCCCAGCGTTCCAGCCGGGCCTGGACACCTGGCATGAGATCAAGCTCCTGACGTGGCCACTGGCCCACCCTGTGACCCCTGACCTCTCCATGCCACCATAGCCCGCCCTGTGACCCCTGACCTCACCACTCCCCCGTAGACTGCCCTGTGTGTGACCCCTCACCTCTCTATGACCCCATAGCCCGCCCTGTGACCCCTAACCTCTCCACTCCCCCATAGACTGCCCTGTGACCCCTGACCTCTCCACTCCCCCATAGCCTGCCCTGTGACCCCGACCTTTCTGTGACCCCTGATCTCTCCACTCCCCCATAGCCTGCCCTGTGACCCGTGACCTTTCTGTGACCCCTAACCTCGCCACTCCCCCATAGACTGCCCTGTGTGTGACCCCTGACCTCTCCACTCTGCCATAGACTGCCCTGTGACCCCTGATCTCTCCATTCCCCCATAGCCCACCCTGTGACCCCTGACACTTTCCATTTGCCCTGACCTTTCTGTGACCCCTAACCTATACACTCCCCCATAGACTGCCCTGGGACCCCTGACCTCTCCACTCTGCCATAGACTGCCCTGTGACCCCTGACCTCTCCACTCCTACATAGACTGCCCTGTGACCCCCAACCTCTCCACATCCCCATAGCCCACCCTGTGACCCCTGACACTTTACATTCCCTCCTGACCTTTCTGTGACCCCTGACCTCTCCACACCCCTATAGCCTGCTCTGTTGACCCCTGACACTTTCCATTCCCTCCTGAACTTTCTGTGACCCCTGACCTCTCCACTCCCCCATAGCCCACCCTGTGACCCCTGACACTTTCCATTTCCTCCTTGACCGTCTTCCCGTGACGCCTGACCTCTCCACACTGTCCTCACCCGTCTCCGGTTGCCGACCCCTCACTGCCTCCCCCACGCCCCCCGACACTGTCGCCCGCATCCCCAGGCCCCCCGTGGCCCCAGGGACCTAACTGGAGCGGTGGCCGAGTCGGGACTGAGGAAGGGCAGACGCGGGCCTGTCCGCGTGGGGACGACTGGGAGGGGCCGCCCGCCCTGGGGGGAGGGGCAGGAGGGGCAGGCGGCAGGGCGGGACCCAGACCCCGCATCCGCGCTGGCTACCTTTGGCGGCAAGGTGTCGCCATCGTGATCCCCTGGAACTACCCGCTCATGATGCTGTCCTGGAAGACGGCCGCGTGCCTGGCCGCGGGCAACACCGTGGTGATCAAGCCTGCCCAGGTGAGCAAGCCGGCCGGCCGGCCCCAAGCGCCAACACGGCGGTCGTCCCGTGTGCGGGGGGTGTCCCCTCCCCTGCCTGGCTGCGGGCAACACCGTGGTGATCAAGCCCGCCCAGGTGAGCAAGCCGGCCGGCCGGCCCCAAGCGCCAACACGGCGGTCGTCCCGTGCAAGGCGGGGTGTCCCCTCCCCTGCCTGGCCGCGGGCAACACCGTGGTGATCAAGCCCGCCCAGGTGAGCAAGCCGGCCGGCCGGCCCCAAGCGCCAACACGGCGGTCGTCCCGTGCGAGGCGGGGTGTCCCCTCCCCTGCCGGGCCCCCGATGTCCAAGCACGGTCATCCCTGGGGGAAATACCGTGTTTCCCCGAAAACCAGCCCCGGTGGGACGTCTGAGCATTCGGGCCGTCAAAGCCCGACCCGACAACCGGCCCCTAGCGACGGGCCTGGTTACGCACTGCAGAGTCAGCCCTCAAACTATGGCCCGCGGAGGACATTTATCTGGCCCGCCCGGTGTTTTTCTTTGTTTTATTTTTGAGACAGGGTCTTGCTCTGTCACCCGGGCTAGAGTGCCGTGGCATCAGCATCGCTCACAGCAGCCTCCAACTCCTGGCCTCCAGCGATCCTCCTGCCTCGGCCTCCCTCCCGAGTAGCTGGGACTACAGGCGTGCGCCACCACGCCCGGCTCACTTTTTTTTCTCTGTATTTTTAGTTGTCCAGCTCATTTCTTTGTATTTTTTTAGTAGAGACAGGGTCTCTCTAGCTCAGGCTGGCCTTGAACTCCCGACCTTGCCAGCGATCCTCCTGCCTCAGCCTCTTGCCAGAGAGCTGGGATGACAGGCGTGAGCCATTGTGCGCCCGGCCGACTCTGTTTCACATTTAGAACCTTCTAGAACCGACCTCTCCTACTGAGCCCCAGAGCTCCCACGACTGGGCGAATGGGACTGGCTGCTGGGCGTCTGTCCCGCTGGGCCGCTGGGCGGCGACCACACGCTTGGGTCGTCAGGCAGACTTTGCACTCAGTAACCAAGCCCATTGCTAGGGCCGGTTGCCGGGTCGGGCTTTGACGGCTCCAATGCTCAGACGTCCCGCTATGCGTAACCAAGCCCGTTGCTAGGGCCGGTTGCCGGGGTCGGGCTTTGACAGCTCCAATGCTCAGATGTCCTGCTATGCGTAACCAAGCCCGTTGCTAGGGCCGGTTGCCGGGTCGGGCTTTGACGGCTCCAATGCTCAGAC